GTGTACTACGGTAAAAAATTAACGCGGCTGATTGCCCGAGAATATTTTATTGAATTTGATTCCGAAACGTCGGTTTACTACGGTAACCAGTTAACGCTTCCGATTACTTATAGTATTGTGAATATAGGCATTCGTCCATGTGAGCATTTTACGTGTGAGCATTTGTCAGTGTGAGCATTTATCAGTGTGTGCATTTGTCAGTGTGAGCATTTGTCCGTGTGAGTAATTTTCGTGTGAGCATTCATGACAGTGAGCTTCTTTCTGTGCGCAATTTTCGTGTACGGTTTTGTCTTGTACGGTTTTGTCTGGTCACCGCCTGAATTATCCTTTTTACATTTCTGTGAAAGTCATCATTTCAACTCAAATTTTACAGGTGGTGTAAGACAAACAATACTTGTTGCGTCAAATGCTTTACTTCATATTAGGTTTTTGAAGTTAAGGAACTGTTTAAATATAAATGAATCATTTTGAATTTCACCACTTTTACATAAATCACACCCAAAATATCCTAAAATGCCCATTTTCAAATTCCTTTCCATTTCATATTAATGTAATCCATGTATTGTGTGTGGTTCCTAGATATTTTCATAGCCATAATGTTTCTCATTAATTTGCAGCTACAAAGTCCATATTTAATTTATAGTTATCTTTCATATTCTCCATTCTATTTCATTTCGATACTCTAGTACAAATACAGTTTACAACATGGTAACTGTAAATGTGCAGATACAGAGAGCATGCTGTTATACATACATACATACATACGAGGTGCGATCGGAAAGTTTCAAGACTGCGCTTTAAAAAAAACCGTACACTTATCTCAGGTATTAAATTCATCCATCACCCTCGAAGTAGTTTCCCTGGGAGTGAACACAACGATCCCAGCGCCGCTGCCAAGCCTGGAAGCATCCCTGGAAATCTTTCTTTGTCAGCCTGTCAAGCACCATCTGCGATTCTGCCTGAATCTCTTCTATCGTCTCAAATCTCCTTACCTTTAGCTGAATTTTCATCTTTGGGAAGAGGAAGAAGGCACACGGAGCTAAATCCGGCGAATAAGGAGGGTGCAGGATGACGGCCATGGTGTTTGAGGCCAAAAACTGCCGAACTGCTTCTGGTCCTCAGACAGGAGCCTTGGCACAAACTTGGCTGCGATGCGTCGCATGTGGAGTTCTTCCTTTAGAATCAGCGGACAGGTCCCATACAAACGTTTGTGCACGACCCATTGCGGACTCCCCAAATGCTTGCTTTAGCATTTCATAGGTTTCCGTAGCCGTTTTGGCGAGTCTTTGGCAAAATTTGATGCACACGCCATTCCGAAATCGCAGGAGGGTCGGTGTAATGCACTACCAAAACGCCCGTAACTAAGAAACAAATGCTAATTCGATGATGCCGGCTGGCACACTGATTCACTATGAATGTAGGCCGCACCACCTAGCGGCAGAAGCTCGTACTACATCCGGTTCGCCCTCTATTGACACAGTCTTGAAACTTTCCGATCGCACCTCGTATGTTACCTGCTTTCTTTGCCAATTCAATAGCACATGTTGCAGCTTGAATTTCTGCAGTGTTGTTAGTTAGGCGGCCTCTTACTCGTTCAGAATAATTCCTAAGAGCAGTAACAAATGTTTAGTCTGCAAAATTGCATGGCTATGACCACAAAATAGAAAAGTATGTCACGTTATAAAAGATATGCCCACAATGACTTCTCCATGCTTTTATTGTTCCAAATCAGCCACATTTTCTACTGCTTCAGATGTAAATTATGAATATAAACTCTATGAGATTGTACTTTTGCTGAGAGAATGAATCATTCTCACTACTGATATTTATTCAACATCCTGTATAGAGGAACTCTGAGGTTTTAACTCAGTATAAATATGAGCTGAAATATGCACAACTTATTAACATATCCAATCTGCATGAATATAAACAGACACTCTGAATCACCCTTGTACAATGAGATAATATATTCACAAAGAATTATGGAATGAACAAAGCTACATTTGAAAATGTTCTGTTGCTCTCAAGATCATTTTTACTTTGTTATAATACATGGTATGTTTGTAAACTATGCAAAATCATACTGAATTTTATGATTACTTCTTAAGTCTGTCATTCTTTATGAAAGGAAGAAAGTAACTATAATGTTCCTATAAGCCAAAGAAAACATCAGTATTAGATTGTTTTATGGCTTACTATAAACAAGTTCAACCTCAATAACATGTTCTAACTTTAAAATAAAATAAATTCAGCCCAATTTCATATACACAAACCAAATATCAGTTTTAAAATACTGTCACATCCGTTGTGTTCACTGGTGCACCTAAGAGATTTTGTTCTGAATTACAATTTGGGTTAGAAAATACAAAAAAATATTTTAAACCATAAAATAAAAATATATCGATATCCCCATGATTGTCCACACATTGCTAAAATCTGCTAAATGAATCTGCCCCTGATAATGAAAGATGAATAGAGAACCTATGTCAACTGAGAAAATTTGAATTACTCACAGTGGGTGATTATCAGCAAACCACACGCCTATCCCTGCTCTAGGGTTGGCCCTTCCATTGTTTTCACATGCTCCATCAGTGTAGACATGCACATATCCATCCATATCAACCTCAAATCCAGGAAAAGCATTTATTTTTGAACTGCTGTCATAATCTGAGTCAGGTGGCTCAACTTTAAGTACTTTTGAAGGTCCTGCTCCATCAAAAGATGCACTGCCTTTTCTCTTGGTAGTTTTATTCTCAGTGCTGCTTGTACTATATGACCTACAGAATACAAAGTAGCATGACAAGGTGGTATCCTCAGCATCCATTTCAGAAATGAGTTTCTTCACTTTGCCAATAAGACCATCACTAGGAGAATTTATTAAAATAATATATACAAAGTCACTTAAAAGGAAAATATACTTCAATGATGTTACCATTATCATATATACTTATTTTACACACCTTTTGGTTGTGACACTTGGCCTTAATGATTCCAAGACTGAAGTAAGATTTCTTTTGAAGGAGAGGGAGTTACTATCAATACATGCTCCTTTTCCAGAATTTGTCTCATTATTTCCCTCTTCTATCCTAAGTGTCGTCACTTCTAGCTTCAGGCTATTTATTTCAGCCTTAAGTTCTGTAACAGAATCTGCATAATGCTTTGCTATTTTTGAAAGACATTCTTGTAGTCTTTTGCATTCTTTAGTCATTTCTGTCTGATTGTTTGCCTTACTTTTTGATGGTATATTAACTTCGGTACAAAATGTCTCAATACATTCCCTGGCAGTGTCAATCTCTATACAGAGTTCTTTCATAGACTCCTCAAACTTCTTCTCTAGAACTGACAAACGCTGTTTCAGTGCATTTCCTTTTAGTTTTATAGATGACACATGAGTACCAGGTGAACTTTGTGTTACATTCTTATCAGTCATTCTTGCTGATATCAACTGGTATAAATAGATGCTCTCCACTTTACTTCACATGTACGTTTGTGTCTTATTTTCTAAGTCACTTTTCCCATGTCCATTAACAAAAAGCTTCTGTTTCTGTACTGAACTTATGGAACTTGGCAACACTAAAATTTGACACCTGCATCTGGCATTCTGACCTACAAGAAGATGTATTTTCTTTCATTAACATACATCCAACTTAAGTAATTATGTACTAAACATAACTTTGTTCCTGCAGCTTCATTAAGCACTACAGCATGAGCTGGGCATCATCATTCTCTGGCTACTTTACCTTAGAGAAATAGCTCCAGTACTCAATGGATAGGAGGCTGGTGGACCAAAGAATCACAATTTTAATTAATCCCCCCACCCAAATCCACAATTTTTGATGTGATGAGGTGTGATACACAGGATACATGAAATGAAACCTCTTCTATATTAGTGCCATCATTGCCTTCACATAGTGTATTCCTTCACAAAATAAGGCTCTAGAAACCATCTGGTCTGTAGGTATGTTGCTTACTTTAATTGCAAAACTTCAATTTTTAAATGTTGGTTTGGTTTGTTTAATGCTTTGGCAGCAATAAATACAGTTTACTTCTGAATCTTTAATTAATTAATCAATCAACTCAAATTCATAAAATGGTTTCCTCAATACGTGACACATATTGTTATAAAGTACATAATTTTATTATATAAATATTTTCTGACAATTTTCCTTTTTTGCATAAGAGAATTGGCTGTGGTAGTTCATCAGTAAAACATTGAATTATGGGCTCAATAAATTCTAAAGGTAATTATAGACTCAATCGTTCATGGTTTCTGACAAAGTCGCAAACAAGAAAGAAGTTTTAACAACTGTTCACTCAATCGTTCATGGTTCTTGACAAAGTCTCAAAACAGATGAGCAAACAAGAAATTCAAATCTTCCCTGTAAACAAAGAAGTTTTAACAGCTGTTCACAGTGTACATTCAGACGTACTATTATAAAATAGCATTACCATGCTTCGTAAATGCCTGGTTTTCTTCCTCTGGTATCGATATACCAACGCACAAAAGAAAAAGCTTTCATACAAATTCTGCATTCAATGCACTAGCTGACATATATCTCCTAACCTCACATAAAGATTATCATTTCTTATATAACATAGATAAACTCGCTTTATAGCGTAGCGCAGATAATACCATCATGGAGCTCGGTGTATGACGTCACGCATATATTGTGCCACCATCTATCCGTTGTAGTATTGAAACTACATTACGAACTACGTGAGATTTTAGGTTATTTCGGCCACCGGTATAAAGATAACTTATCTCTACTTCATGTGAATCCTTTGTTTGTATTTTTGTGACATTTATATGACTTGTATTTGTATAACATGTATTGTATTATTATGACTTATTCTACATCCTACTGTCATCTGACTAACTTATGGATCCATGGAATGTAATAAAGATGTATGTATGTATATAACGTCAGTCAGTGAACTTCCACCAGGCTACACGGCGAAACAACCCAGAAGACTGTCATTTGCTATAAAAACTACGAAAAAATAGTTGGTGTTGAACAATGGTATCAGCCATTAGCGAATATAAGAAATTAAAGAGTATGAATTTGGTAACAGTCCAGTGGCAGATTATCCATATCACATTTCATTAAAATCCCTTCACACATTTTCTACTTATTAAATGCGTACATGCAAATTTTGGGAGTGGGTTGTGTTAATTTGGGTCAAGTAAAGTTAAGTTAGGTTAGGTTTGTAATGTGCAGAGGATCGCGTCGTAATGGCGTAAAAATTGCCCCACTTGTATTGTATTCGTGTTTTCTGGAATTACATAATGAATTGTATGAGTAAATACGCCATATATAATTATTTTGAAATGAAATTGTGTAAAGTATGACAGAATAACAGACAAAATATTAAATGGCATTTGCAAAGGAATCTCTTGTGGTGATGGATACATATTCTCACTTGAATCATTTATTGAAAAATAGATAGAATTCTCTTCCATTAAAAAATCTAAATAGGAGTCTCCTGATAGTTGAAGCAAAGTCCTAAAATGAAATTGCCTATTATTCCTGCCAAAATATTACGAAACAGTGCATGTTTATGACTTTTCACTCACTACTCAAACATTTGTGTGGTCTTCAAAGCTCAAAAGTAGACTTTCCCTTAATGCTAAACATTTACTTATGTCAGTTTTTTTGACACTGATGGAAATAAGTACCAACACTTTCTCCCACAAGGGCAATAACAGATGTTCTGCAGTGACTAGACTTACCAGGTTCAAAACAGGATGTTGGAGGTACTTGCAATAATGGCAGATATATCCCAGTGGTAAGTGACATTCGCTTTTTAAATAAAATCATTTCATATGAAGTAAATATATTTATTCAACAGGCAAAAATTAAAACTTGGGGAAAATCCCAGAACAGTGTTTTTGTTAGCTTACTCTAATAACATTCTTTCAGAAGTTTGCAGAGTGAACCTTGGAATATTTTCCTAATTTAAAGATGCAAAATTGTGTGACACATGAGTTAAGCGAGAAAGCAATGAAAGCATTAAAGTGAAGTAAAGCTGTCCCACTATACGCCATGTAGGCACTTGGGGGGGAGTGGAGGTATAGCTCCTACTCTTTCTTGACCTCAGCACTACATGGGGGTGAGTGGTCAGCATCACGCCTCGGCCAGCTTTACCCCCGGGAAAGGACCCCGGTACCCATTATAGCACTGTATAAATAATATATAACAGCTCAGTCAGTATAGTAACTGGCTACGGACTGGGTGACCGGGGTTCGATCGCTGACGGGGGCAGAGGATCTTTCCTCTAGCCTCTGCGTCCAGACCGGCTCTGGGGCCCACCC